GTGAAAAAAGGCATAGTTATATGATCATTTGTGAAATTTACCCGAGAAATGCTTTAAAATCATAGTTAAAAACAGTGAATTATTACATAATATTATCGTCACCTTTTTAAACAAAAGGAGTCGTCTAAAACCTAAAAAAACAAATTACTACCTTAAAAGCGTACCAACGTTGTTAGAAGTCGCTCTTCCCCAAAATGGTTGGTCCATTTGACAATTGAACGCGGAATATGGCTTTGGATTTAAGCAATATTCATTTAAAACATACAGAACAAATGTTGCACTTTCACATCTGAATGATTAGATTTAATGCATATTATTCTCTCATTCTAATTTTGCTTTACTGAAAATTTTGCATGGCAATTCGCAGTACTGTACTGCGAATTGCTTATACGCAGTATAGTACTGCGAATTGCTCGTGTACTCAATTTGCAGTATTGTACTGCGAATTAGTTAAAAAAAAAATTTTTAGTTAATAATTCGCAGTACTCTACTGCGAATTACTTTAACGGCTAAATTTCCGTTAAAGTAATTCGCAGTATAGTACTGCGAATTAGGTATTTAGGTAACTTTTTTTTAGTAGTAAAAACGTGTTTTTTGTCCAAAAAAACATTAGAAAAGTTTCGGACTCAAGTCCTCCTCCTCGAGTTTAGCTAGTTTAGCAAGATTTCAGAATATTCTAAAATCTGAAGTCTACTTTACTAATTCTACAGATGTGGACCAATATAATGGTAAGTCGAATGTAGTGGCTTATATTAGCTTGAATGATCTTCTTTCAGATTGAACTCTGCTAATATTTGTATAAACTGAATTTTGAACGATGGAGTTATCTTCATACAACGGACCTGAAATAACTATAGTTCTAACGTTATACTTTCGGGCGAAAGTTTTTAAACTTTCGTCGTTCAAATTTCGTAAAAATAGCACGGTATAGTCAGTTTTCGGACTGGTCAATCAAAAGTAGTCAGCGTTTACCAAGTCAATGAAAAATAGCCATTATTTTGCTGCAATAGAGACCGGTCCAGCATAATATACTGGAGTTCGGTGCACTTGTGTATGAACTCCAGCATATTATGCTGGACCGGTATACTTTGCTGGCTCCAGTATAATATACTGGAGACTGGAGCACCGGTGCTCCAAACTCCAGTATATTATACTGGACCAATATACTTGCTGGAACTCCAGTATATTATGCTGGGGTTCTAGTGTACTTATGCTGGAACTCCATCATATTATGCTGGAGTTCCAGCATACTTATCCTGGAACTCCAGTATAATATGCTGGAGTTCAAGTATACTTATGCTGGAACTCCAGCATAATATACTGGAGTATTTTTCGGGTTTTGAACAGTGTTTTCGCTCAGATTTATCTTTACATAAAAAGTGGCTAAATTTCGATTACTTTTGAAATTGGGCTATTTTTGAACGACCAGTTGTATATCTGGCTATTTTTGAATTTCTCCCTCAAATTTCAGACGTCATTTTGACAGTTTGGAAGCCCAATACGGATTAGTTTCCAACGTGAAAATAGCATGGGCTAGTCATTTTTCATATTGGTAATCGAAAAATAGCTAGCATTTGCAAAATCATTAAAAAATAGTCACTACTTTACACGAAAAATTCCAGCATAATATGTTAGATTATGGAGCCCTTGCGTATAAATTTCCAGCAATTATGTTGGAACTCCAACACATTATAGTTCGACCAGTCGATCTCACAGTTAGGTAGGAAATTCCAACATATTATGCTAGAATCCCATATGTAAAAAATTCAAACTCCGACATATTATGCTGAAATTTTTTCAGATTCTTAAGGGAGTTTCTTTTCCATATTTACATAAAAAAGTAGTTAAATTTTAGTAACTTTGAAATTGTGGCTATTTTTTTAATTACCATTTTATCGAAAATTTAATGGTGGATTTAGAAACAAAAGAATACAAAAAAAAAAAAAAGAACAACGGTAAAAATTGCACGGGGCGCCCTATTTGGTCGCCCCCATTTAATCTATACTCATTTTTAAAAAAAATTTCAACTTGTACCCACTTTTTAAACAACTTTAGGCATCTTTCTCCTCCTCCTTCTCCTCCTTCGTTTTCTCCTCCTCCTCCTCCTCCTCCTCCTCCTTCTTCTTCTTCTTCTTCTTGGGGTAACAATAATTTTATATGGTGGTTGTGAACATATTTTAATGTAGTTTATGATGTTTTACAATGGTGAGCTGTTATGACACTTTATTTTTTACTATTGTTTAAAGTTTCTTCTTCTTCTTTTTCTTAATTGCAAAATGGGTTCATTAGATTTATTGTTGTTTTGACAAATTGATGATTGGAGTTTGTTCCTGATGATATTTGAAAGTTATGTTCCAAATTTAAGCTCATTCGGAGTAGATTAAGTATTAAATTGTATATTGGATTGTTATAATTCGAATAACAAATTTCTGTTTTTGGGCAATTTGCACTTCAGGCTTATTTGGTCTTAAGTGCATAAAAACGCTGGTTGCACTTCAGACCTTTTGGCCTTAAGTGTATTTGAAGTGTAATTTTTTACTTCAGACTTATTGACCTTAAGTGTATCAAAACTTTTGTTGCACTTAGACCTTTTGGCCTTAAGTGCATCTCAATGCAATTTTTCACTTCAGACTTATTGGCCTTGAGTGCATGAAATCATTGGTTACACTTTAGACTTATTTGGCCTTAAGTGCATGTGAAGTGCAAATTTTCACTTCAGACTTATTGACCTTGTGAATGAAAACGTTCGTTGGACTTCAGACTTTCTGGTCTTAAGTGCATACGTACAATTTTTCGCTTCAGACTTATTGGTCTTAAGCGCATATGAAGTATAATTTTTCACTTTATACTTACTAGCCTTAAGTGCGTGAAACGATTGGTTGCAATTTAGATCTATTTGGCATTAAATACATTTGAAGTGCAACTTTTTGCTCATGGAAAAGTGGATAGGCTTATAAACTTTTTTACAAAGTGGGTATATGTTTAATTGTATCCAAAAGCGCCCCAAAGAACGTGGAATTGATAGTGCCCAAAGCCTAATAGTGTGTATGTTGTTACTCTGGATTGATAATGCGCAGAGAAAGATGTCGTGACTCCAAAAGCTCGTCGCCGATCTGAAGAAGTCGCCGGCGAAGTTCCTCAACTCTCTTAGCATATCATTTATTCAACTCCGTCGGAGAAAATGTCGTCAACTTTCAGCGGCGATGAAACTACTCCCTTCTTCGGTTTCCTCGGCGCAACACACACAACTTGCATTCTCTGTTCAGATAATTAAGGATTCGGTTTTCAATTTATTTGAAATATTAGATAACGTTGACTCTCGTAGTACATACATGAGGAATAATGTAATTCAAATTCGTTATTTAGGTATGGGAGCATTTTATGGGTCAGCAAAGAGCGGGATGGGAGTGGCGGCGTCCATGGTAGTAATGAGGCCTGAGCTTGTGATGAAGCCAATTGTGCCGGTAGTTATGGCTGTAGTGTTAGGTATATAAGGTTTGATTATTGCAGTGCAGTGATCATCAGCACTGGAATTAACCCTAAGACCAAATCGTATTACCTTTTTGATGGATATGCACACCTTTCTTCTGGTCTGGCTTGTGGTCTCATTGGGCTTTCCGCTGGAATGGCTATTGAAATTGTTTGTGATGCTGGTGTTAGGTACTTTCTCAACATTTTCAGTTATTTGATAGAGAACACAGTAGTAAAAATTCCTCCAGTGCACGTTACCCAATAACAACACCTCAATTCCAAGCTAGTTGGGGGCTCTTATGCACATAAGCCGCTAGGAATTTTCAATAGTACCCTAGTATATTGCATCTTTTCTAGTTGATTTCTTTGCTAGTTATTGTCTCTAATGCCTTTAGCTAATTTAACCTCAACTGTGGATTTCATTATTAATTTTACGAGATCTTAGAAGTTTGAAACTGAAGCTGATGCATTATTTTTCTGAATGATGCTACTATTTGCATTTCCCTGAACATCATTTATCTATTGGTGACTCCATACATGGCAGAGCAGTAATTCCTAGGCACCAATCAGTATTGCAGGCTATCATTTTCTTTATCAGTAATATAGCAAGCTATCATTTTTTTTTAATCAGTAGTATTGCAAGCTACCGTCTTCAGTTGAAAATATCTATGGAGGTGAAATTAGTATTAACCACTACAGTTTTAATAGCTTTTTAAGAAAAATCATGTCTGATTCTGCTTCACTCTGCTACTTCTTGGCTTTAAACTTCCAAAAATAAAAGAGTTGTTATGAGAAGTATTATTATGTCTATATGGGTCTTAAATTTAAAGAAAGAATCTTGTGCATAATTAGCCAGAAGAAAATGGTGCGAGTAGCTATTGAAAAAGTTTTGGGGTGTGGCAGAATGATCAGGATTGGGGGTTTTACTAAAATCAGCTATTGCAATGTCAGCGAACAAAATTTTGGTTAAGGTAATTTACAAGCTCTCAGTGTTGTCAAAGGCGCACTTAAGTCCTGAAGCGAGTCTCAAACCATGTTGAGCGCTTCGGCTCGCTTTGCGGGCGCTTTAGTATCGCATCAAGGCTCTAAGGCATACTATTCCTTGCCAATGAGTGTGATCTTGAAACAATTGATATTTCACTTTATCGTAATTTTTTTCCAATTTCTTTGTCCATATATTTGTTATTCATGCTTATAATTATTAGTCTTGGACTACATATACATATTTTTACTTTTTCTCCAGTTGCGCCTTTTTTCATGAAAGTCCGCGCTTTATTTGCGCTTTGCGCTTAAAGCCCCAACGGACCTTAGAGCTTTTTTGCGCTTTTCGCCTTTGATAACACTGCAAGCTCTACAAGGAAACCGTGAAGACTTGCCAGTTGCCTCCTGTTTTCAAGCTCAAAATGGCTGGTTTAGCCCTTGAGAGTTGAGGTGTCACTTTGGGATCGTCAGTGACACTGATTTGAAAACATTATCAAATAAGATGAAATTAGTAAAAGTTCTGTTTATGGGAGAGGACTATTAGCTAGTTAGTGAAAGATTCTTCAACAAGTAATATTTATTTGGGCCTCCTGTACAAAACTAAAACTCATTACAATCAGTATGACAAAAGCGGAAAAAACCAAAAAAAGAAAAAGAAAAAAGAAAAGGGAGAGCTGGAGAAAATTGGCTCAACTAATATTAAAATCAGAACATCAAAGAAAAATGGAGCTGGAAGATTGATGCAGCCTTCACCAAGTAATTTCGTCTCATTAGATCTTCCTCAATACTATTACAAAAGAGATTTCAGTCCTGTTTTGAAACTGTAATTGCTACTTGTATTTGGAAAATCAAGTCCAAACATCTCCTTAGGACCTTTTCCTGGTTCCATCAAACCAACCAGCTTTGCTACCAAGTATGCACTATCTGCAATGTGGTTCAAATCATCTGTCTTGGTCCATAATTGCTGAGCCAATTGTAACCTCCTTCTTTTGCTATTGATCCCAATCCCCCACTTAAGGTATAGGCCGTCTCGTTCTGCTTCGCTTAACTTTTTCTGCATTTGCTTGCTCAGCATCCTTCTCTCTTCTCGCAGATCTTTCTTGCTGTTTTCCAATGAAACAAGACTTAATGAAACCATATTTCATTTTAATGTTCTATAGCAGTCAATTGCATTTACATTCATGGATCTAATACGAGCCTGAATTGACTAAAGAAGTCGAAGAAAGTTGTTGGACAACTCTATACATGAAAGTACATTAGTACTCTGCATATCGGTAACATTGGCAGAACGACCAAGGGGTATGTGCACATGAAAACATCAACTATATCATCCTTCAAAGTTCAGACATGGAACATATAGATGTATATGGTATATTGAGCATGAAAGTATGAGAAACTCTTAGTCAATTAGCAAACTGTTGAGCTTTTTGTTTACTTTATGCGAGTAAATATAAAGATAGAAATGGAGGTTTATGAACAATTCATTTCCATATGACATGTATGTCTACTTACACACATCTATTCGCAGGGAAAGACCATGGAGAAAATTTTCAAATGGATGCAAGCAGATTACCTTCCCTCCAGTGACAAAGTCCTACCATTCACCACGGTTTTCTCTCCACGTGAAAATGTGTCCTTGAGGAAGGTTAATCTTCTAATTTCAACCTCCATATATATAGCATCTGTGGAATCACCTTGGAAAAGAAGGAAGAAGTAGGTTCTATGTGCCAAGGAGACATTGCAAGCATGCCAAAGTTCAATAATCTCTTTTTGAAGTCTCTTGAATTCTAAGGGCCAGCTGTAACGACTTTTATAATCATCTTCTGCTGGCTCCACTCCAACATCTCTCACACTTTTTGACGGTATATCATGCTCTAGTTCAGCCTCCTGAATCTGTAACATACACATCACTCACATATTAAAGAAGATTTATGAGGTAGGGGGAACTTAATAAGATGGCAGAGTGAAACGGAGAGGAAAAAGGCTGGTACTCACATTGCAATCTTTGACATCCATTTCATGTTGAAGCTCATCCATTCCATTCATCCTTGCATCCCATGCACCATCAGCATCATTGACATCCTCATCAGTTAAAGGTTTCCTTTCTGGAACTTCAAGCTCAACATTGAAGGCACTCTGTGCATGGAAGGAGGAACCATTTCCTGAACACTTAACATCAGAGCCAAAGTTCAGGTGAGAAACTTCCATTTCTGAATCCTGAGGTCTTGCATTGAAACTTCTTGCTGGTTCAGATGGTGGTGTACTTTTATTTCTGTTGGATTCCTCTAAGCATGGAGAAGATCGATCAGTAATTATACTAGCTTTGCAGCTTTTACTTTTAGATAACTTCAAGTTTCTATTGCACAATGTATCATCATTGAATTCACATTGTGAGGATAACTTTTCTGGAGGAGCATTTGAGGAATGAACACAAGTCAATTCTTTCTCTTCCTTGAACTTTGGTGATTCAAGGGCTTGGTCAACCCTTAAGAAAAGTGACACCAATTCTCTATTGGATTTCCTTTCTTCCGCGAAAAATGAAGATGACACTGATTCTTGGTCTTCTTTAAAGGGTAATGGTTTCAGTTCCCCGTTTTCCTTATGTGGAGGTGTCACCGATCTTCTGTATCCATTGTCTGGAGGTAATAATGTTCCCTGATTTGTTCTCTCCCGATTTACAATGGTTACTAAAGCTGGAAAGCCACCATTTTGTTCAGGAAATGAATAATTGGATTCTTGTGTTCCCTTCACACTCGATTCTTCTGTTTCAATGCAACGAACTTCCTTGCATAGATCCTCAGAAGTCTCATTACTTTGTTTTTCAACTTCATCCCATCCCTGACATGAATCACTTCTGCTATAATTTGAACTTCCAGGTAATAGCATTGGAAATGTATTGTTGCGAAATATGGTTTCTTCAAACTCTGGCACGTGTATAATCTGATCTTCAGAGCTACTCCTGCTATGTCCAATTGAACGTGTTCTAACATCAACATCTATGTAACGAGTGTCTCTCAAAATGGAAATCTGCTGCATTGGGCTTTGAAAATCCGGTGATCTCTTCACGCGCAAATTTGGGTAGTGTCCTAGACCAACCTGTAGAATAAGTACAAAGTGCCTTTTAGCGCAGAATAAGCAAATATATAAATGAGGAAGCAAGTAGAGTCTAGTAAACTTTTATATACCTGTATTACATCATCTCCAAGCCCTTTCAGCAGATCTTTAACTTGACTCTGAGCAATATCACGTTGCAAAATTAAGTCCTTTATCTCCTTCTCCAGCTATAGAAGAGGGGAAAATTGACCAAGGGTTCAAGACATCGGACAGTAGTCTATTTTTGTAAAATAATCAGGAAATTGAACTCTTAATTTAAGTCAATAAGGATGAGAGATACCTCAAAATAGCATGTCAGGGGTAATATTATATGCTTCATTTGCAAAAGAATAAAAGCCATTAACATCCTAGATATATAATGGAGGGCAAATCTTGCCATGCTGAAAATCTCAGTTATCTGTACTCTTCCGTCAGTGAATTTTGGACCTTCAATTTGTTTTGTTTTTAGTTTCACATATAATGATATTTATTTGTGCTTGTACCACAATTATGCCTTCCCAATAACAGATTACTTTTTGTTGATACACTAACATGTTAGGCCAGTTTTTTGTATGCTTTTTCCTTGTTATTGTAAAAATTGCTGTATCAAGGATACATTAGTCACTTCCTTTGGTGTGAGAAGGAAACAAGCCAAAGTTTCCAGGTAAAACAATCGGATGTCACAAAGGAAAGAGGTTCCAAATTTTGCAAATACTTTTTATCATCATCAAAATGCGTTACCTGTTGTATTTGAAGGTCCTTCTCTCGCAGTAACGCTTCGTAATCTGAAGGGAATATACAAGCCCTTGGATACCTTAACTCACTTTCCAACCTTGCTAACTCCCTCTGTAAATGCTTCACCAATGCTTTATCTGACATGGCTACGTTCACTTGGGCGTTAGTAGTTACTTCCTTAGCACAACTTGCAAATAGTAGAGTATTTCTTGATTGCTCAACATGACTTCGTGCAGGACTCATTGTACAGATGATGGCAGTTCTACCGTTGCCACTCAATGATGGCTGTAATATCCGGGTTAGCTTTGAATCTCGGAAAGGAATGTGACCAGTCCTATCCTTGCTGCATTAAGTTATACAACAACTTGAATTAGTTACAATTGTCGGCATTGATCAGCGGAGGTATGTCATGCTTAAATCTGGCTTCCATTTTAAATTTTGCTGGCCATAGGAATTAATAAAACAGAATTGAAAATTAAAAAACAAAAAAAAGAATGCAATAATGCTAAGAGGACCTAGGCGCATTTCATGCAACTGATTATATAATGTAACACAGAAGGCAAAGCTCTTCTTGTAGAGCTGCTTAATAATCATGTTAAACTTGCTTAGCAGTGCAAGGAAATTAAACGACCTTAGCTTACGAATAACAGTGCCCAGGGTCAGCAAGCTGCGATTTATGTGACAACCTTCTTTCAGTCTTGCACCAGCTGACAACGACTGAGATGCCCGCTCACTTCCAGCCAAATCAACAAAATTCTGTGTTTCAATGGAAAAACATTCAGCAGTTACCTTAGTATAATAGCAACACCACACTATATATCAATTGCTCTTCAGAGATGCATTTTCTTACCACAGTAGCTAAAAGGGTACCCAGGTTGTCCCCCCCTAAGTGCTCACGAGCAGAACTTTCAATTGTCTGCAACAAATTATACTTCAAACTTCTAGTTGTATTAAAAGGTCAATAGCATGGTAGACAAGAAATTTCAGTTGTTTTACCAGTCTGATGATTTGGTGAGATCTGGAGCTTGTTTCATTGAAGGCAGTCTCCCCAATCTGTCTCTGAGCTGCAACATTTAATTGTGAACTCAAGACCATGGTTAATTAATTATATGCCAAAAAAAGCTATTCATTCTGTTACCTTCACAAATAGAAAGTAGCCGAATCACATGGCCCCAGTCCCTCAATATTTCCTCTGTGAGTTTCTCAACAACAGTCCCTCTCTGTTGAAATTGATCGGCATGATTTAAGACGGGAAAAGATATACAAAAACAAGCAGTAACATTTTGTTGATCAGTGAAGCAAACTAACCTCTGGATCGTCAAGAAGTCTAAGTGGAGCACTATCTTCACTAAGGAGATCTCTGACAGATTCATTGTATATCTCCATAGCAGAAAACTTCAAAATAAAGACTCTCTCTTTGTGCTACATACATACAAGCAGTATAATTTGATAAGCAAAAACTCTTGGTTAAACAGAAAACAAACAATTAATCATGAAGTAGTATACAGTTACCTTCTGTACGCATTCGTAGATATCTGCTATGGCATATTCAGTTATTCCAGTCATAGTGTAGGTCTTTCCACTGCTGGTTTGGCCATAGGCAAAAATACTTGCTAGTTGATACATAAATTACTTTAGATCAATAATACAACAGGACATGGACTTCTGTTCAGAAATTCCAAAAAGTAGAAGCAGAGCAGATGCACTCACAATTGTATCCTTTGACAACTGAAAGAGCAACTTCTTTTGCTGCTTCTTCATAGACCTGTCTTGTACAGCAATCACTGCTAAATACCCTGTCTACAAACAAAATCATAAACCAATAACACAATAATGGCCAAATACTGGAAAATGATCCAGAAAACGAGGGTGAAATTCAAAAATAGCCAAATTTACAAGTGGTAATTGAAAAATAGCCACAGTTTCAAAGTAAGCAAAATTTAGCCACTTTTCATATAAAGATAAATCTGAACGAAAATACTGTCCAAAATTCGGAAAATATTCCAGCGTAATATACTGGAGTTCCAGCATAATTTACTGGACTTCCAGTATAATATACTGATCCAGCATAATATGCTGGAAGTTCATACACAGGTGCACCAATCTCCATTATATTATGCTGAAACTTTCTGTGTTGTAGCAAAATAGTGGCTACTTTTCAATGACTTTGCAAACACTGGCTATTTTTCAATGACTGACCGCAAAACTGACTAGCCCGTGCTATTTTCACGAAAACGATCTTCCAATGTAAATTCACTAAAATATACTTTTTACATAAATACACAAATTTGGAACCATTTTTGCAACAATCAAATGTAAAAACTTACCAAACGTATATGCAGAGGGATAAATTAAGCGTTCTGATGGCGAAAGGCTAATATTCTTGTATATAATTGTTGTATCATTGACACATTCCCAGTCTGAAACATCATTTCTCTCCTCTTTCTCATTCAATGGCCTTAGCCTCACCGATACAAAAATCCTCTCTTCACGCCCCTGCATTACTTCCTCGCCACCTTCCATTTTTTCGATTCTCCCCAAATTATTCAGAGAATGTTAAACCAAAAAAATCCCATTTAATTTCCTAGGCATTTCATTCTTCAAATAGAAGAAAAGGGTCAATATATTATGTTACATGCATTTGGAGAAACTATTGGATGTGTTTTCTTTTGATACCTATGGTCCAATTTACAATCTTGTAAGTATTTGCCATGCATTATACGTAACAATATTGCTGATAATAGTTAAAAGGATCAAGAATTTTTTTAACCCTCTTCTTTTCTGGGTTGTTTTCAGAGAAAGTTGATGTATGATATTTTTGAAGAAAAAAAGACTCTTTTTCTCTTTCTCTTTCTGTTTGGAAATGAGACATCAGAGAGAAAGAGAAAGAAATGGATATAAAAGGCAGCTGAGAATTGGATTTGAGAATCAAAGCATAAATTAAAGAAAGGTAAAAAAAAGGGTATTTTATATTTTTCCCCGTTTGGTTGAGGCTGGCAAAGATGAAAAAATTTAGCAGTCCTAATTTCTGTTCTTTTTTATTTCCTTTGTGTTTTCTTCTTTCTGTTGTATATCAATACATTTTTGTTTATGCAGCAAAATTTAAGCTTTCTTATCATTAGTTGGTTTTTAATTATTCACCTTTCACCTTATTGATATGTGAGTTTTTATTGGGCTATTATCACTTTTAGCCCGCGCCAAAAATTATTTACATCTGGTAACCGAAAAAGTGTATAAAATTTGTATAATTTTTGTATATAATGATATATATATAAATTTTATACATTTTTTCGGCTATTTTACTTTTTCAGCGTCTATACTGTATCATTTTTCCTATTTTATTTGCATACTATCAAATTTGTAGGTTGAACTTTGGACGAACGAGAACGGTTTATAATCCAATTCGTCCAAAATGTGTATTAATTAATAAGGGGTATTATCACTTTACCCGCGCTAGAAACTATTTACATTTGGTAGCCGAAAAAGTGTATAAAATTTGTATATCAGCAATTATTTTGAGAGCGGTTATGCAGTGTCATTTTTTCATTAATTAAAGGAATTTTTACCTCCTATAGCAAAGGTTAACACCTTATTTATTTTAAATAAACACCATTTAAAAAAATTATATCCTATAGATACCTTTTAAGGTTTATAGCAAAATATTTAATTTTGGTTACCGTCTAGCCCTAAGCCACTAAATACACTATTCAGTTACACTATTTTCTTTCTCTCTCTTCTTCGATACATCCCATTCTCCTCCCCCATTCCCTGAAAACACCATGCTCAATCTCAAAATTCCTCTCACCCACACTATTTTCTTTTCATTCCGATCAATTCTTGCACCGAATATTGAATTGCGATTTAAAAGCAAATCAAATCCCTAACCAAAACTAACTTATTTGGGAAAGGGAGTTAACCAACGTTTGAACTTTGACAAATTTCACCTTAGCGGTAATGAAAGCAAATCAAATCCCTAACCAAAACTAACTGATTCGGGAAAGGGAGTTAACTGATTTGGGAAAGGGATAGTGAAGATTGAATCTTTTGGGTAGCAGGTAATGAAAAAAGGTGTCGCGTGTTGTACCTTCAAATCTCAAAGGTGTCGCGTGTTGTACCTTTAAACGTTGCTATGGCGGATTCGCCGGAAATTAGGGTTTGTTCTTGAACAAAGACGACGGAGTTTGGGGCTGAGCAACTTGATTTTCTGTTAATATATTTTCAATGTATTTCATTGTATTCATTGTCTTTTTTTTTTCATTGTAATTCAATGTATCTCGTTCTATTCCATGTATTTCATTGTATTCACTGTCTTTTTTTTCATTGTATTTCAATGTATCCCGCTGTAGTCTATGTATTCATTGTATTCACTGTCTCGCTATATGCCATGAATGTATTCATATGTTTTTTAATTAATATAATTTATGTATTCAGATGTATTATATAATTTCTCTGAAGATTGCTATGTTTTTGGGGTATTTTTCGGTTGAGAATCTTTTTTATAACTGAAAATACAAAATTTGTGTGTTATAATTGAGTTTGTTGAGTTATATTAGGAGTCTAATATATTAATTGATTCACTTTCCGTTTTAAAAGCAATGTAATCCCCTATTTCACGCGTTGAATACAGTCGAATACAATAATCTGTCCAGCTGTAATCCCATGTTTCACTCCATGAATACAGTCGAATACAACAACTGATTAGCTGGACTTCCCTGATTCACGCCTATTTTTTGCTAATGTATTCATGAATACAATAGCTTAAATACATCAAATACATCTTATAACCACAGAAAAGGTATCTATAATCCGTAATATAGCATATGGTATCTATAGATGGCTAATTACTACTAAAAGATAGTGCTTTATGAAAATTTCTCTTAATTAAAATTAGAGGTGTGCATTCGATTTATCGATTCGATTTTGACCCTTATCGATAATTACTTATCGATTATCGATTTGTACATATGCTTATCGTTATCGTTTCAATAAGGTTTCGATTTTTTCGATTTCGATTTCGATAACAAATAATCGATTCGATTTATCGATAAACCGATTCGAATACGCACCCCTAATTAAAATAAGTTGGGCCTAAGATGAGTTACGCAAGAAGTTCAAACTTAAGACCTACAATTCTAATTGGGACAAATTGGATGTGTTGCATAATTATGGGTCAAAATAGGTTAATTGAATCAAAATTTGGCAGATTAAAAGAAATGAGCAAATAAACAAATCATAACACAATTTTCTTAGATCGAAATAAGTTAAGCAATAACAATTGGTTTCCTTCTAGTGGAGCCTATGCGTGATGACGAGCAACACAAATTTGATAACTAAAGGTCCAAACTGTTGAGAAGTTAGATCTTTGCAGCGCCTGGAAATACAAATTAAAATAATTACGTACAATAATACAGTATTCGACAATCCCATGTACGAAAATTCTATGTGCAGCGCACCTAATTATAATACAGTAATCAATTCTATCAAGAGGGCAGCCTGCAACTTAGTGTAGCTAGTTTGTATGGAGGGAGCATTATTCACTAAATAGTACTGTAGGGGGCTTTTACCCCCTCCAAAAATAGAGGTATGTCACTATTTGCGACGCGCAGACGGTATTCTTTAGTAAAAAGCGAAAGAATAGTTCGCTATGTGCCCATCGCGTGGCTGCGTGAGTAGAACTGAAGAGGATGGCCTTATTTTATATTGTTCATGCAGCCGATGTGGGACGTTAGTGATATGGGCTTTCTTGTTCCAACACTTTGATAACAGCTCCGAAATGACCTTTTTCTCCCAAAATGAGAGTTTACGAAAATTGTCCAAATGTTTTCCATTGTTCAAAATTTTCAGTTGCGGATCTTTTTTTATTTTTTATTTTTAAATAAAAGGTGGGATAATGGGCATTGAATTTCAAAACAAATCCTCCCCTTTAACCCCCACCCCAGACATTCTGACTATTGAGTGTAACATTAGGCTGAAAAGCAAGATGGGAAGTGCAATTGTAGACTTCTTGGCATGAACCATTGCGTCTTTTAATTTAATACTTTAAATGGACAAAAACTTTGACTTGAATATATACATAAAATAATTTAGTATCAATTTCCGGACAATTTCAATAGTTCTCTTTGATGATCTTATTTTGATTTATCAATTAAAAGATCTACCGGAAAATAAATAAATAAGAACAATTGTGAATTGCACTTCATTTTCAATCTATATGTTGGTATTACGGTGCTCAAATTCAGAAAATCAGAAAAATAGAACTTAGAACAGAAAATGCAAAAAAAATTCCGAGCCCACTGAATTCACAGTGTGTCCTTAACGCTATTCGGATGGTAGTAGCATTAGCCACCATGTATGGTCTTGAAATCCATCAAATGAATGAGAAAACATCCTTCTTAAATGAAGATTTGGAGGAAGAACTTCATATGGAACAACCTAAAGGGTTTGTGGTTCCTGGAAAAGAAACAAAGGTGTGCATATTTGTTAGTCTCTTTTTGGACTAAAACAAGCACCCAAATAATGACATATGAAATTTGATCACACAATGGTATCAAATGTTTTTAAAGATTAATGAATAATAGAAAAGGCACATGAAATATTTGAAATGTGGGGGCGTTTAGCTTATGCATGACACAAGCGAATGTTAGACGTAATGTCTAAATGATACAATTTTTGAACCCCAGCAATTCTTAGTGGATATTGATATGATAGTCGGTGAATTCATTACTTGTTCAGTCTTAGTGATGAAACTACAAATTCGAAAGTTCTTTACGTGTTTTTCCAGAAATGATTTGTTCTTTCTTGAACATTTATAATGTTTAGCTCTTTTATGAAAGGGTGTCACCTGGAAGGTTGTGACTTTTCATGAAAAGTGTGTTTACAAGTTTTGATAAACATGACCGTTCATGAACAAATATATTAATAGGTTGGTCTATAATGAGGTGAACTAACCGATGAACATGACCAAGAACCATTCCAAGTTGGATTTGTTTCATGAATGAAGGTGCTATAATTTGCATATCATATAGACGTATGAATAAATAACATACAAATGCTTGAAAATGTCGGAATGATTGCGAAATGTGTTATATATTAAAAGGTTATGGCCACAACTGATGCCAATCATTCCAGCTGTTGTTATAATATACTATTACTACTAAGTGTAGTCAATAATCTGATATGCAATCGAAATTCGAGACGTATTACTCTACGACATAAGAAAGTTTCCATTGAACTTTCATGACAATGAAATGAGTTTTGAAGTATTTGAAATATACTCCAAATTATGCTTTGCATTACAATAAGTATCCCGCGATAATAGAGGGGTATAGTGATGCAAATTAGATCACACGTTCAACCGATTCTAAACCATCGGTGGCGGAGCGATGTATTGGAAATCATCCAAACAAATGGGCATTGACCGCTCTACAGTGGAGGCTGAGTTTATAGCCTTAGACAAGGCCGGTGAAGAAGCTGAATGGCTCCGGAATTTCTTGGAAGATATTTCATTTTTGGCCCAAACCTTTGGCACCTATATGTATACATTGTGATAGTCAAGCGGCAATAGGCAGGGCAAGGAGCGTTATGTATAACAGAAAATCTCGTTACATTCGACGGAGACACAATACTGTTAGACAACTACTCTCTAGTGGTGTTATCACGATTGACTACGTAAAGTTAAGAGATAACGTGTCGGATCCACTTACAAAAGGCCTATCTAGAGAGGCAGTTGAAATATCATTAAAGGGAATGGGGCTAAGGCCTAGGACAGGTCATCATGGCGTTAACTCTAC